TACTGATTTACTTGTAATCTCGAAACTCTACTTACATTCGAAAAATAAGTAACGTTGTTGATTTTTACAGCAAATATACGTTTGCTTCATCGACAATACTACCAAGGAATGTGATATGACAAAAGGTCATCCTTCCTTAAAATTCACATCTGCCCTACGACCCAACATCACTCATGGCAACGTGGCCGAGTTGTTATAGTGTCATGATAACATTCTGCACTGTCACGGTTCGACTTTCGCGGGGGGTGTTGATAAGACCTATTCAAGGTCGAAGCCTCAGTCCACCCTGGATGATAACAATTTTTGGAAAGCAAGACTATTTGAAATCCAGTGAAAACGTCAGCTCTACCCATATTTTTGTGGGAAAATTCTACTTCCAGTCTTTCACCACCTTAAGCGAAATAGGTTGAATACATCTCCTATTACTGATTTACTGGTAGTCTCGAAATTCTACTTACATTCGAAAAGTACTTATCTTAATCGAAGTTATGAAGACTAAGCTGGTGTGGCCTTTTGTGTGGTCGCAGTCTCCTTTCGTTGTATATAAGTTGTTTGACCTTGTTTTGGCAACTGGGTCATATTGGAAGGAAAAATTAGAGGAACGCACCTATCCCTGTTTCCATTGTATGCACGATAATTTCCAAAGGCTGAACATGAACGTGGTATATTTCTAAACGATTCCCTAGCATCGTAGTCGGCATCGTCAGTGCGTCTTGCCCGTCTTAGCAACATACAACAATTCGTTAAAGAGACAAGTGAAGCTGATCCTTTGACCAAATGTGTGCTAAACAGTTGTAGTATCTCTCCGACTGCCATGTGCTAGTAAAATTTCCTATAACCTCTTATTAAGCCTTCATTATCACAATTTTCCCTTGCTTATTTAAACGTAGTGTGATGTACCCTTTTGATCAGTTTTATGAGAATCCTCCACACTTCACACTGGCGTTCGACCCCTCTTCACCCATGTGCTTCGAATGTCGATCAGAGTCTGCCATATTGTTACACAGTCCTCCTTCCATAGGTCTTATCAGAGTCTCCCTCTTGCCCCATAGTTTCCATCTGTTATCTTCCTGGTTTAGGTATTTCTCTCGAACCCTGCCACTTTATCTCTGCTTCTTGATGGGCTATTACTTCTCCCTTGCGTCTGAGTGACTAACTGGAGGCTACGGCTTCTGACTGAGTAAGTCTCATGGTCAAGCTTTTACTTCATAGACCACATCTATGACAATGAAACAAGCCTACTTTCAGCCAACTGGCTTCAGTCTCCGCCGCGTCTATCCTGTTTATATCCGTAATAAAAAAAGTCTATGACTTGCTATGCCCTAGTCTCTTGCATTCCAACCGACAAACGTTGTGGTACTGCTTGCTTTGATTAGGTTCAATGCTGTGGTTCAACATTATCTGATCAACCTTCCCAACACAAGGGTGAAGGGGTGAAAACGACAGTGTAGAGTGTGAAGGGTTTTTTTATAAATGCTGCTCAAAGGAGTACAGCAAAATACATCAAATTAAGCACGGTTAAAATTGTAACAATGAGGGCGTGAAAGGAGGATATAGAAAATTTTAATATCCCAAGAAAGAAAGGAAGATACCACGACTGTTTTGCACACGTTTGGTCTAAGGATCGGCTTTACTTGTCTCTTTAACAAGTTGTAGTGTGGCGCTAAGAATAGCAAGACTCACTAACGATGCCGGCGAATCGTCTGGTAATGCATTATGTCAACGTTCCGAATCTGAAAATTATCATGCAATCTGTGCTCTCCAGACAAAATGCGTTCCTCTACATCTTCCTGCCAATATGACCAATTTGCGAAAACAAGGTCAAACAACTTCGAAACATAAGTGATATTGTCGATTGCCAGATCAAATATAACCTTGATAAATCGTCAATCCTATCAAAGAATATGATATAGGAAAATGGCCGGCCCTCCTTAAATTCACATCTTTCTGGTGACCAAATGAACCTTGTGGCAATATGGACTAGTGGTAAATGTAACAAGATTAATCTCTGCACTGTCACGATTCGACTCTCACTGGGAGTGTTGATAAGACCTATGTGAGGTCGAAACTGCAGTTGACTCTGAATAGGAACTTCTTTTTGGAAACCAAGGCTATGTGAAATTCAATAAAAGCGTCAGCTCTACTCATACTATGTTGAAAAATGCAACTACTAGCCTTTCATCACCTTAAACGAAATAGGATTAATATATCACATATAACTGATTTATTGATAATCTCGAAACCTTACATATGAACAAGAATTTACATTAATTCTTTAAAGAACGCTTTTGACTAAGGATGTTATGATCTCAATCCCAACCCGTTCAAAATAGAACCTTTCAACTTCTAACAGTTTTAACGTTGTGATTGACCATGAAGTGAATCAGTAGCCAAAATTTTCAGTGATTGAAACGCTATTAATATTATATTTATTGAGAAATAAATTTAGCAATATCTATCCGGATTTAGCTTTTGGTAACTGCTTTCATAAGGTAATATCAGGTTCTGACAATTAAATAAAATTCTGAGGGATCAAAGTATGCACTAGAGTGCATTCGGATTCATGTCAGAGGTGGCACAGTTTACCCTTTGTCTGCTAGAAAAACTTCCTGTGTCATTCATTGGGATGAAGTCATCTAGACACTCTTCTTTAGATTAATTGAGAATTTTTCGTACTTTACCTGTCATGTGGAAGTTCATAATGAGAGCAAATCTGGAACTACTTATTCATTTAGAATAAGGCTTAAAAACGAATTAACCTCAAATTAACTAAGTAACCCCGATGGTCTACCTACCTATAGAAAGGTTTAAGGAAAACTCCCACGAAGCTTACAGCTATATTCATTTACCTGCTACTAATCAATAGAGTGAGTTGAAGTAATTGTATTTATGGATGTGAGCCAAATAAAATAGTACCCAAACAACTATTTATATTTATATTTTTCAATCTACATCTATTGAATATAAATGATACATAATGAAAATATTGTTTTTTTTTTACTAAGAATCATAGATTAAGAACAGGCTAGTTTATCAGCATCGATAGACGACTGTGAAAGCCCTTGGCAATATATACTCTTAATCGAAGGTATGAAGACCAAGATGGTGTGGCCTTCGTGTGGTCGTAGTCTCATGTCGTTGCATAGAGGTTAGTGGACCTCGTTTTTTAACTTATTCATATTAGTAGGAAGACTTAGATGAACTCACCTAGTCCGGAGTCCATTGTATGCATGATCATTTCCAAAGTCGGACCATGAACGTGGTACATTCCCAGACGTTTCGCCAGCATCGTAGTCGGCATCGTCAATGAGTATTGCCAGTCTTAGCACCACACAACAACTCTTCAAAGAGACAAGATTCTTTGACGAGTTGTTGTGTGGTGCTAAGACTGGCGATACTCAATGACGATGCCGACTACGATGCCGGCGAAACGTCTGGGATTGTACCACGTTCATGGTCCGACTTTGCAAATGATCATGCATACAATATACTCCGGACTAGGTGCGTTCATCTAAGTCTTCCTACCAATATGACCAATTTGAGAAAAAAAGGTCAAACAACCTCAATACATACTCTTGTTTACGATAATTAAATTAACAAGCTTTTAGGCCGCAATCATTGAATAAATTCCTACAAATTCTTATCTTAAATGTACATTTTTTTTTAGCAAACTTTTAATATTTAATGTGTTCTTTTTAAGTTTTGACATTAGCTTGTTTTATCTTGTTTTTTATTGTCAACCTCATAATTAGTTCCGCTCTGATAAATTTGTGACCGCCCCCGCGTCATTCGACTCTTGCCGTTATGGTTTGTCATGCCTTTCTTTTATTCTAGGCCTCTTCATCTATGGCCAAAGATATTTATCAGTTCAAGGCAAATGACATCGATGGAAATGAAAAAAGCCTTGCCGATTATAAGTTTTGTGCTATTATTGGTTAATTTCCTAATTCAGAGGATTCGTGTGTCTTATCGTAAACGTTGCCTCTGAATGAGGTTTGACCGATAAGAACTATCGTCAATTGCAGGAGATGCACACCTCTCTGCATGACAAAGGTCTCCGCATATTAGCTTTCCCATGTAATCAGTTTGGATCACAGGTAATAACTGTATTAAATAACTTTCTCTAGGAGCCTGGAACAAACCTTGAAATAAAAGAATTTGCAACATCCAAATATAGTGTTACTTTTGATATGTTTGAAAAGATTAACGTGAATGGAAAGAGTGCCCATCCCCTGTTTACCTTCCTTAAGAGAGCTCTGCCTGGATTTATAACGAAGTAATTTGATTTTCGTATATTTCTTTCAGTGACATTAAGTGGAATTTTTCTAAGTTTCTTACTAATCGAGATGGTATTCCCTTCAAGAGATACTCACCTCAAGATGAGCCCTTAGTAAGATACGACAGTTTACTAGTTTATTATCGAATTTTCATCCGCGCGTATACTATATTTATTTATGTTCTAGAGCTTGTTGCCTGATATTGAGCATCTCATCCAAGGTAAGGATCAAAAGTAGTCGCTTTATAGCCACGCATTAATGACGATGCTTATCTTAAATTTAAACTTGGATGACATCTGATGTGTCCTTTCGTGTGCGGCAAGGACAAGTTGGCCTATATTTCGTCTAAAGTATCCTTTTGCCACCTCTTCAAGAGAGTAGTAGATAATAATTTACAAAATTATCTGCCTCTGCTCCCATCTTTTACAGCCTATTCTATTCCGGACTTTGATTCATTAACCCACCAAACTCAGCCAACTTATTTTTTGAAATCTTTTAAATATAGAAATTGGTCGTTTAGAGCCGTTAATCAACAATCGATTTCGTACCAAAACTTTAACTTCATATTATTGTTTATTACTGAATTGACATTGTACCGAATTTTTTTCATCTGAATAATTTAGTTATATTAATATTTAAACATGGCTTCTATTCTTAAAATTAATGGTGGTTGGGTCTCAATACCCATTTGATAATTGCCTAAAATGAAATTCTAATGTCATTTTTGCTTCCATTTTACTACTAGCTCAGTGCGCTATCGTTTTCTGTACTTAAACTAAGTCGAGTACATTTTCTTGGACATGAGAATCTAGGTTTTGAAAGATGAGCACTAAAAATAGTAGTGTTACGCTATGCTTCATTTAAATTAAAAAGGCGAATGAGGGATTCGTAACTTGGTCTAACAAGCCACCCAAGGAGTAATATCTTAGATTTGGTACCGCTTGCTTGCGTTAACCCCATGGCTCACTGTCCTGTGATCCCAATGAGTCCATACTGACCTTTAGTTCGTCAAATGACGTGAGCCAGTAGTCACGATTGCGAAAAATTCACTAAAAGGCATTAGGCAAAGAGAATTGGCTGAAAGCCACTTTTAATAGGTGACTGCATTTACGATGGCTTTGCTCATGAAGTGGGGGACAACTTGCACTAGAATGTGCTCATGAAACCGACATAGATGATCTTTTATTTGATTCTCTATTCACGCTTGGTTTATGGGGAGAGAGTTATCCAAACACAGTAAGGCGCTTTAAACGCAGCATTATTTTGTTTTATAACAAGCATAATTTAATGGTTATAGCAAGTAGGATGATGGGAAACAGGAATTCGGACAACCCTTTATCCAGGTTACTAGTGCTGTCGCATTGCCAGCCTTCGAGAAGGGTAGGACAATGGGACATCGAGATCGCGTATAAGGAAGATTCCACGCTTAAGAGTCTTCCGGCCTCTGCATATCGATTTGTTATAAAGTTTTGTCTTCATGTGATTCTGTTTGTGACTTGTATATTATGATAAAATCAGGCAATAACTACCTCTGGCTATTAGAAGGAATAATGTAGGTTGGGCGTGAAGAGCCACAATTGGGATTAAATATGACAGGCTACAAATTATCAACTGTCTCTTCAGTACTATGCACACAGCACACAACTCGTATTAAAAGATTAGACTGAAATATGTTATTATTTAGCCATCAATTAACATACCTGGACAATATAACTTCTGGATAGTGCATGAAAATTTTAATGTAAGCAC